TATGTAATTTTGATGTACTTCGAAAATTTGAATGAATGATAACAATATTAAAACACTATTTAAACTATGGACACCAAACACCATTTTCTTCTTTAACTTGTGTCAGTTACATGCCTAAAGCTGTTTTACAGGTAATTGAAAGGGTCTCTGCATTTCCATTATGAGTCAGTCTTGTCTCTTCTCTAACTTTTGAAAGGTCTTTTTATACTTCAGTTACTGTTTTATTTTATATGTATTATTGTACACAGACATGTAAGTATGAATTATGTCATGTCTTAATCATGCTTCAAAGCCGACAAGGCTTACTTGTGCTGATCACATGGATGCTTGTAATATGTAAAGCAGCCCATTTATTCTTCCTAGGATGAGTCACCTGTGGCAGAAAGTACCATATATAGATCACTTCTCTACATCCGTACATGTTTTTGCAATTATAAAATTACAAAATTATCAGTTTCTTTTTGTGTGACACAGGTGTTAATGCTGACACAGCAAGTTTCACAGATAGTTATTTAGGACTTCAAAACTGAACTTTAGCATGCAAAGTAACATGGGGTTGTATTTAAATGCCAGTAGTTGGCTGACAGAATGTACTTTGAACCAATAGAAACTTCTATCAGTGCAGTATGGAGGTGGCTAATTTTTTGTAGTCCTCCTTTTCTCTGTAGTTACCTGCCTTCATGGTGTACTAAAAAACCTCAACTTTGCCAAGCAGATTTTGAAGGTTTGAGTTGCTGCAGAAGGGAAGAGAAATAACCAAATCTCCCCCTACAGATGGAAAACTCTTTGGATCAAGAACCATGCCTTTAATTTTTTTTTAAAAAAATTATTGTTTGTATTTTGCACTCTTTAATCCAATTATAATTGGATTAAATATAGTTTAATATATAGTTTAGTTGGTAATTAGTATCTAATGAAGTGGGAGAAAATTACGAATGATTTGCTGAACTGATGCCACTTTTTTCATAGCTCTACGAATCAGTTAATTCTGGTTCTTAGTTTTCACAATGAGACCCAAGTGTCCTTTAGTCAGTATTGATATCCTGCAAAGTACTTAGCTTAGTACTCCAGTCTTGACTCCTCTAAGCTGTTCTTTGAATATTATTCATACAGATTGTGAGAATAGATTATGTATTAGATAATGGTACTGTGAAATTGCATGCAAGCACATATAAGGGGTGGAGCTTGCATTAGGATGTCACAAGGCACCTGTCATGATTTTGCAAAACCCTTAGCCTGCTGAGGATGCTACTATTCCAGAAGATGTATTCTACATCCTTTACCTACTTTGTTCTTCTTTCCAAGCTCAGTGGAAAGTTGGGAAGAAATTATGTAAAGAGCTCAGAATTCTTGTCTCCTCATCCATCTGTCCATCTGTCTGTCAATAAGCAGGATAACTCTCTGAAAACTGAATAGAATAGGCCCACATTTGATGTGGGTGGAGAAGCTGGCAA